GGCCTTGGGACTTGCGCGCGGTAAGCCGCTTGGTCCGCTAAAGCCAGTCTTTTGAGGCAATATGAGCCTCTTGTTGGTTTTCCTTACGCTTCCACGCCTCTTCTCATGGTCTAGCAAAGTCGGCCAACTTTCGAGCCTCCATTTCATTTTCTTCCAGTCTGCAGACCTATACAATTCTGGTTCGCCTTGGGGGGGGGGGTCCCTCAGTGCCTTGTTCATACGAATTGGCGCAGGCGCCATCTGGCACCACTATTCTTCTCATACCGATGAAAAGTTGTATAAAGGGGTTATTTGACATTCTGGTCAGAAAAATGGCATCGATTCTTGGCGCCGGCGCTAATGTAGGGCGCTCTGGTCATGTGCGCTCTGCTAAGGCTGAGCCTGAAACTCACAGGCTCAGCCTTAGCAGAGCGCCTGAGAGAGAGCTCGATATGGAATGTCTCGTGATAAGGGCTCCGAGTCATCTCTATGCGCAAAGTTTCGCAAAAAAATTACTTGAGTTTGGGGTAGAGTGGTTCAATAGAGCCCTATTTTTGAAACTCGCTGTCTTTACCTAAGAGACCTTCTTGTAAAAGGCTGTTGCAGTCTGTTCTGTGTTGTCGGTTCAGGAAAACTGCAAATGTTGGAGTTGAAATGCCCAGACTTTGTTAAGAATTCATTTACATTGGATGGTAGTATGAGGCAGCCTATGATCCAGCTAAACATGTTCATCGTTTCAGAACCGAACCCTGATATTAGTTCAAGAATAAATTTGAAAGTGTCGCTATGCTTCCAAAATTCATGCTCAAAAGTGCTATCACTCCAGAAATTTTATGAGCAGTAATTTTGAAATATCACAATGTTGTTCAAGGAAGGAGCCAATACGTCGATTTGGTATAGATGTGTCGGGCATGAACGATCGCCAGCGTAAGCGTGTAGGCTACTGGCTATTTCTATGCGCAGGGATGTGCTATGGAGCAGTTGCAATCGGTGGACTCACTAGGTAGGTTACAACTTAAGAATGATTTCATTTACCCTTTATTTTTGACTTCTTCCAATTATTATAGATGGGACAGCATTACAGACTGACGGAATCTGGTTTGAGTATGGTGAACTGGGATTTATTTCGGACTATGAGGCCACCGTTGAGTCAGAAAGAGTGGGAAGAGGAGTTCGAACGGTATAAGCAGTATCCTGAGTACAAGTAGTGAGTCTATTAACCTTCCGATTGCTGGTACTTCAGTGGTGAGAAATTAATTTGCTATTCAGTAAGTCTTCAAATGAAGAGATGACTTTGGCACAGTTCAAATTCATTTGGAACATGGAGTATGGTCATCGCATGTGGGGTCGAGCCATTGGCATTGTTGGTATTTTCTCTCCATATCCAGGACATGGGGAAGGCGTGGCTGCGTAATTCGTTCGAACGTGGCGGCAACTGCGCCTTTGGTGGGATTTGTAGTCTCGGGACAATTGTAATTATGTCTTTACCTATGGCAATTGTTTCGAATAGGAACATATCACGCAAGACGCATTCTCCCTCATGTTCAAGTGGAGCACGCGGCCACGCTCCCTCTATTCGTGTATATGTAGTCTTCCCTTAGAGTTCACACGTTTTGATACACGTCTTTCAGGTTTTCTTGCTGCCCTGTGCCTATTTTTGGGCGCGTGGGTACTTCCCAACTACCATGAAGAGACGTATGGCAATCGCAACAGCTCTCATCCTTGCACAGGTTCGTTCCAATACCAATGGACGTTTCGGAAGGAGAGGGTTTGGACTTTATCAGGGAAACTTCTCCTTGGTTCCTTGGCTGAACAGTATGTGGATGACATGATTTACCGCACTGGGAAATAGCCTTTTTCCGGGTACAAGCCGCCTTCTCTCTTGGAGCGCTGCAACAAACAAGCAAACTGCACATTCCGTTCCTTTCGGCGCTAGATGGCGCCGATCGCTAGCTTCGCGCTATCACCGCCATCCAGTCCAAATCGTACTCGCGATCAGAGCTATAAAAGCGTAAAGTATGAACCTGTTGTGGCATCAACGCGTTTGATTTCATGCTTTGCTTTGATGCATATTCGAGGGTATATACCGGCGATTGTCGAAGGGCGTGGTCATCTGCATGAGTGTGTTCTTCCCATTCACTGCCCCTACCCCCTACTTCGGAGCTGGCAAGCAAAAGTAGAACAACACCCAATGAGGAAGTCACAAGAACCTAAGCGTCGGATATGCTTTAGATGAATTTTTTCCAGGGCGGCATCGGTTGGTGGATGGTAAAGTCAGGCTTGGATCCGTCGAGTAATTCTGAATCCAGTGTTCCAAGAGTCTCGCAGTATCGACTGGCAACACACCTGACCATAGCATTCCTGCTCTATTCACTTTTCTTGTACAATGGAATCAGCCATTTTGTGGCACCACAAGTGCAGGTCTGTCGCGGATACTTGTTTTGTTTTCCTATTGCATTTATTTTCACTCGAATTTGGAATTTCGGAACTTCAGTTGGCAACATTACCCAAGTTCGGCATGTTGCGAGGACTTTCCCATAGCGCCAAAGCACTTGTTTTCATCACTGCGTTTATGGGTGAGCTAAATGTGTGATTTACTGTGTTTCATTGTGAAACTCGTGCAGCTGACCATGTTATAAACGCTCAATAAAGTGCGGTAGAGGTACTGTACATTCCTTTATAGGAGCATTCGTAGCTGGACTGGACGCCGGTTTGGTTTATAATTCATGGCCCAAGTTTGCTGAAAGCTGGATACCGGAAAATATGCTCACACGATCGCCGTTATGGAAGGATTTCTTCGAGAATGACGTTACCGCACAGTTTACGCATAGAAATTTGGTGAGTAGATAACATAAGCCTCAATTAATCTGGTAGTCTATTGATCTGTTACTCTGTAATTCAGTCTGAAGCTTGGATAGATACAATATTCTTCAATATGAATGATTTAAACTTATTCCCAGGGTTACCTAACATTGTTGACAATCACGGCTACATGGTTGGTTGGACGCCGAATGGGCTTGCATCGTCGTGCTAAAATAGCCCTCCATGCTACCATGGCCATGGCCTACAGCCAGGTTGCACTTGGTATCTACACATTGGTGAGTAACCTTGCCACTGGATTTCGCGTGCCTGGCCTTGCACCTTTAGAGTGGTTTTTCAGCGTAGTTCGAGTTCAAGGGGGCATTTTGCTTTATCTTACCGATCACCCTCGCCCTCCTTTTCAGCTTCGCTTTTCACTTTACAAGAGTTCTCAGGTCTTACCAAGATCAGACATGTAGTTCAAACTAGCAAAAAAAAACTAGAGAAAGTGCAGTGTAAACCCCCACCCCCCCCCCCCTCCTCCTCCCTGAGCCGAACTGCACCGCTTTTTCGTTTTTGCGTGGACAGCTTTCATCTCTAGACTCGTTCGCATTAATTGGGTATCGGCCGGGAGATCCACACTGCGGAAGCGCGACGAAATAACGTCGCGAGTGGCGTCGCATGCGCGCCATTCACACCAGAACTTAGTTAATCTAGTGACTACGTACTACCGCATGCCCTGTCAAGTAGCTAGAGAAAACTAGCTAGATTGCATGTAGCCCCAATATGAATCTCCCGACCGACAGCGTGAGAAAAATTGTATAAACGTGACTAAAATCGACTTTTTAGTTGTATTATGTGCCTGTTTGGTTGGCGTCATTACATCAGTGTGGCTCTATGAATCTTCTGGGACTTGCACTGTGGCTAACCAACGAACTACGGCGCGTACCCAAGTAATTTTCATGTGCTGTTACTTCCATCATTGATTTGCTTTCTCTGTGGTTGATCTATTGATTTCTATCACGTTGTTGTGACCATATTGTTCATAATTTTGAGATGTTGTTATAATTTGTTAAAGTTATGTCCTGTAGTTATGAGTAGTTATGCCCTGTTACGTTCTTTGTTGCTGTTACTGGTAGAAAAGGACCCGATGAGGTCGATCCTTGTCATTGGTGTAGTGTACCGGTTATGAGTTAGAAATTGCTTAAAAAGTATGTACCTAGAGAATGAAAAGCTATAAATTTCTTCGAACAGTGCTTGCTGTCATGTTAATAAACAATGATCTACTTGGTTGGGTAAAACTAAGGTGCTTCTAGTTCTCTGATATTTTCTTTTTCCGGGTAAAATGACGAGATGTCTGTGTTGGATTGAACATGCGGAAAGCCTGCTGAGTGTAGGGCTTGACATCTATCCAACCATCCAAACCAAGGGTGGGTGTTTTCATTTTTTTCACGTCTTACTGAACTACGAGCCTTGCAAGAATGATGGTCTGGCGCTATGGGTAAAGATGCGGGCAGGACGTCCTATTAGTGACAGCGAACGGGAAGTAGCTCGTCGCTCGACATCTTATAGATAACTGGTCAGACTAACGCAATGAGGGGCATTTTTAGGGGGGCTTTCGATCGTTCTTTTTGACAGTTACTGTTAAGAGTACACGTCAAACCCTGGTGAGAGCTGCGAACGGTTGTCAAGTGTAATCGAAGCTTCTACTAATACCTAGATTTACAGAAATAAGCAGGTCTTTACACTAGGAATCGGCAATGATTGATGGGAAGCAGCGCCCCCTCCAAGCTGAAGTGCGCCCAGATTACTGTGCCAGTTCGGAATAAAATCAATCAGATCCGCATGTGACACCAGGGTATGTGACAAGGCAATTGTAAATCGCAACGCTGAGAGGCGCAGCGTGCGGCGTCGCGTCCACAAATGACCATTTCTGGGCCGTACAGCGACTATAAACCAGCTTGGCTGACGCGCACTTCTGCGCGCATGGTTCAGTCCATGGCTGTGATGCGAGTCATGAATTTGGTGACCATCCCCTTTACAGGCCCCCTGTCAGCTGTTATCACCTCCTGCCATCAACCACTAGTGTTCCTGACGCTGACCTCCTAAATCGCTCATCGATTTGAACTCTCTACGACTTGAAGGAAGTTAAATTTCCTGTCACGCACACACACACCAGTAGACATACTTAGCGAATCATATATCCACATGGACCACATGGACCCGGTGCCCTGTCGACAGGTCGATACAAGTCAAGCAAACGCCGCGCGCGACCGAGTGGAATTACGATTGTCTTGGACGTCTCCAGCGATGCCACTTCCATTGTTGCGCCGCGGAGGCTCGGATATTCTGTCCGACATGATGATGGGGTCGGCATAGCGATAAGGGAAATTTTTCGTTCAGTGCAAGCGCTACCCTGAGTAGGACGCATCCAGTCAATGTCCAACTTTAGCTATCTCTTCATATAGTAATACCTCCACTTTTGCAGGAAAACCCGCCGACAAGGTCAGCTGGGGGCTAGGTATGTATCACATCAGGAAAAAAAATATAATTCTATAGTTCTTTCCTGATTTACCATACCTTTCAGATGGGAATCCCTATCAGCAGATCTGATGTGCTGTAATTCTCTTAAGCGGCTTCTCTATGAACGCTGCGTTGAGAATTCCCCAACTGTCACTGACTGAGATTTCCACCATTCTTTCACGAAAAAGGGCCTCCTCACTCATGTTTTCTTTTCTCTTCAAAAAAAATCATAAGATTAGATTACTCGAGAACTACATATGAACACACACAAGAATGAACAGCCAGATGAATGGCTCCGAACCTATCAAAGGCATAATGCACGATAGCTTGATACTGGGTCTAAATGTTTGCAGAAGTGCTATAAAGGCAAAAATGTCGAAAAAGCGAAGTGAAACGGTCAAGAAACTGCAAAAAAGCCTTTGTTCTACACCCCTTAGAAAGTGATGCGGACGAATTTCTCGTCGGCATCGTGCCAGGCAGCACCGCAGGCGCTTCACATCAATCCCTTCACTTCATACTGTACCTCAAAATGAAGCGATACGAGCATCAGCATCGCTCGAACATTCGTGGGCGGCGGGCAAGGTGGAGCGTCTGGGTCGGTATGTTGCGGCTTGATAGGGCGCTATAAGGGTACCTTCAAAAGAGGCGCAACAGAGCGCCTGCTCAAGGGCGCCGAATTCTGTCCCGCTAGGCGTTCTAATCCTACACGTCTTGGCGATTTATCGTGCCAACTGCTTTTAAATGAGCACATCGATTTCACAAAGAATTTATTTCAACAAAAAAAAGCTGGAACAAATTTTATGGATCTATCAGTGCGGGCTGGTCTTTGACTTCCCGAGAAGGTGACCTCCACAAGTGCCCATGACAATGCCCTAAACGTACCACGATTGCCACGCTAATTCTGAAAAATATGATTCATTGTGAAGTACATATTTTCTTTTGGAAACTACGTAATTTCTTACTTTTAGTATGGCGCCTTTTATCACATCATCGACCACCTTTGTGGCAGCAGAATACAGAGCAGAACGTAATAGCGAAGCTAAGTACTGTTCCGCAAAGCGTAGTTCCTCTAGTAAAATGCGGGCGCACTCGCGTTGTTCACGGCAGTTTGAACATGATTGCTGGAACTGACACGACGAAGTAGTTATAATATAATATAATAAATAACGAAAAGGATAAAGTCTTCGCCGTTGATCAATCCCCTTGTGGGATGCGGCACGCATTCTACTTCCATTCAGAATCGTAGTGGGTTATTGAATGCGATGTGGCCTATACAATGACTTGCGGGGGCCAGCCGATGTACAAGTCAGTGTTTTATCCTCCCAGACGAATCTGGTACCAATTTACCGTCCCCGGAGGGTAGAAGGCTTGGTTGGCCTGGGCGGGAGTCGACCGGGATTTGAACCCATGACCGCGCGAGTGGTAAGCGTGCCATTTGTCACTGCACCACCTCAGCCATAATATAATACAAACGATGGTGTACACCTCTTCTCTTTTTATTAAACATTATAGACATAAGCCGCGGGAACTTGGTACTGCTTAGCAGTAGTAGCACGGGTGCTTTGTAGTGGGAAAGTGACGAAGAGGTTATGTTAAGCGACCAAAAACTGCGAGAAAGCCTGTGTTTGGCGCGGCATTGGACGGTCATTTTTGGACGAGTTTATCGATGGCAGTGTGCCAACAACCGCTGTGGGTAACGCTTCATATCGATTGTACTCCATAAATGAAGCGATAAGAGTACCAGCGTCGATGTGATTGTCTGGCTATTTCTGGGCGGCTATTGTGGGGGCTGTGGGTGGCATACTGTAGCTTGATAAGGTGATATAGTGGTGCCCTGAAAAAGGTCCGTCTGCAGCGCCTGCTAAGGGGCACAGAATTCTATCCTTTTGAGTTTATTCAGGGCACCTCCTGCCACTTGGGAAATTTTGCTTATGTGAAACGGGAAAAACCTCCAAAAGTCGACGACCGGGAAGGATCTCTTCCCAATGCCGCGAATTTCTTCCGAAGACAAACACGACTACACTTTCTTCCCAGCGAGCAAGTATGGCCCTCCCTCCCTCCCCCCCCCAGCTGGTGACTCCACGCGTGCGGCGCAGTCAGGGTGTATTTATCCTACACGCATTTAGATTTATGGTGCCACTTGCCTTTAACCATATAAGTTCATTTCCCTCACCTGGCCCTCTACACACTCTGCAGCTGGTGCATCCTCCTCACTTGGACTCTTTTCCAGATTGTTGGGAGCTTCCTGTCGTGGATGTGCCATGCTTTCTACAAACAATCAAAATCAGTAATGCACCAAAACTTTACTAGATTATAAGATGTACGAAAAAAAGTCATAGCGAACAAGTAATCGAATTATAAAGGCACAATAGTGAAATAAGCAAGAAGCGACTAGCAGCGTGGTGCTTCACATCTCCTTCTGGCCACCATTGTAACAATCAAGCTTATATAGGAAGATTTCTCGCGCCCCTCGTCTGCTATGTACGCACTCTCGCACGTAATAAATTCCAACCGAAGTTTATACAATTCTGGGCGGTTCGCCACAAAGGCAAGCAGATGAGTACGAGTACAGCTGACACCTATCAATTTGTCGCTCTCATTGAGAATTACTATTAATTTCCGCCACGCTATTCTGTACACCTGACCTCAATTAATCAGCTTGGTCCACACCTCAAGCGGATTACGGTAGCGCTAAGACAGCAACAGGCGCTCCTTTTGACTTTGCGTGGCGAGCACAACAGGCGCCATGACCCCTTAGCTTCGCGACACTGAGCTCAGCAGTTGTCATCTTTTCGTACCTCCATGAGCATGCAGCCGACAAGCGATACATTTCTTACCTCCACTAATGTATGGACCACTCTGACGTCTCATTTGCTTAAAGGCAAGTTTCATGGTAAATCCACAAAAGGTGCAAGATTAATAGGCCTAGCAGGACAGAATTGTTGCTCCCCCTAGCAGGCGCTGCGTGGCGCCCTTCTCAAGGTAGGTACTCTTATAGCGCCCTCTCATGTGACACTCTGAACCGGACGCCCACCGCAACCGCCCGCCCACGAATGTCCGACCGATACTGATGCTCGTATCGCTTCATTCGCGAAGAAAAATATGAAGTAAAGGGATTGATATGAAGCGGCTGCAGTGCTGCATGGATATAATAAAATATATATAAATAAATAAATAAATATATATGCATGGATATATGTATAAATATAAATAAATAAATAAATAAATAAATAAATAAATAAATAATATAAATAAATAAATAAATAAATAAATAAATAAATATATATGCATACATGCAGCTGTATCTACCTAGTGGTTATTAGCACGATGCCAATGGAAAACTCGTCCAAAATCGCTCTCTGAGTCATGTAGAACGGAGGCTTTCTTGCAGGTTTTTGACAGATTCATTTTGCTTTTTCGCCATTTTCCCCTCC